TTTAAACCACCTATCTGTGTCCTATGTCACACTTAACCACAAAATCAGCAGTTAATATGTCCTTCAAATTACGTAAAACAGCTATGGTTCAGAACACATTGATCTAGGACCTTTTCATTAAACAATATTAAGAAAATTAAGAAACGGTCACTGTAAACTGTAAACTTCAGTCAACAACTGTGTTAGAAAGCTTGAAAGTAAGGTTTTACACAAACTTCCCAATAGTTAAAATAATTCAGAAAATGCATATTAAAGGTGAAGTTTTGTTCCATATGGTCAAATATAACATAGAACATTCCTAAAATGATATAACCTGAAGAAAAGTTTATAATTAGATTCTACCCTGAATACATACTCAGATCATTGTAAAAGATAACAGTGGAGTATGTGTGACAATTAATTTTTATAGAACCGCTATAGGCTTGAACATGTATAGGATAATTTTAATGTAAACACTAACATCTTTATAAAGCAGTATCACTCAAAGGGTGAAATCAGACAGCAAGTGCCAGCAAGTCTGCAAGTAACAGAACATCTTTTTTGATCATTTGCTTCATTTATGTTTTGGGCACTTACAAATTACACATAGATGTCCAACAGCAGCAGAACACTGTAAAATAAAGCAAAAACTTGTTGCTATTTTTAATATGTTAAATCTTCTTAATAACTGGCTTGAAATAATATAAGCATAACACCACTTCAAAGCATTATAATGTTTAAGGTACTCTAATTCAATTTATTGTCTAAAATGTGTACCTTACATAGTCATTAATCTCAAGGTGGCTATAATCACAAGGCCTCCGAGAATATTTAGAGAGACAATTCCTTGCATCCCTAGTATTTTTGAAATGGCAGTAGTCTACCTTCCTTCCTTGGTCAAGAGAAGAAAAGAGGCAAGAGATAGGGAAAAAGGGACTTCTCTATAGAAAGACCTGGCCTTGGAGTCAGGGTTTCTGAGATGTGCTAGTGATCTTGGATCGATGCCTTTTTATTTTCTTTCAGGAATAAATCTGCGCAATGGAATGGCTTGCAATTGTCCAGCCAACCAGCCATATCAGATTTATCAGAAAGAAAGAATGAAAACTGGCTCAGAGGACTCCTGCAGTGGCTGAGTGGCAGGTTGCTGGGAAAGGCACACACAGAAAAGAATACACTTAGTGGTGGAGGGGAATATATTCACAAGTGTAAACTCAACAAATAATAAGATGTAAAGAAAGAATCTATAGTAATGGAAAGGGTGAATGCATAAGACATGACAAATAGTACTTCTATTTAAAAACTAAAGGGATGAAAGCTCATGAATACTAAATATTTGAATCCACTCTAGGGAGGAAATATGATTTTTCCCTCAAATGAATGCAAACTCTAAAAATTAGCCAATTCAAACTTACTGTGTTCAGGTTAGTGTAAAAAATCCATAAATCTGTAAAGTGCATGCCCTGGTAAATATTCTAATCTAATTTCTTAATTAACACACATTTCCAGTGACTAAATGAAAATATATATAAAGCAGTAAGTACTGATTTTCAAAAAAAAATTGACTTTCTACGCATGAATAATTAAAATAAAAGCAGTTTGGTTTAAGAGGAAAAAAAAATCAGAAAATGAGGAATCATGACACAACCAGTCATTCAATTTTATCGTAACAGTCCATAGGATGGTACTTTCAAGTGATTTGCAGTTATAATAGGTATAAATTTGTTTAGAACCATTCTGAAGAAAAAAATACTTCATCTAAAAAGATTCCTTTTACATATACTAGAATTTCAAAATTAAAAGAAAACAGTGTACCCCATGGATGTGCTTACAGTAAACATGTGTAGGAAAGAAGATTGATATTTTTGAAAATATATTTAATATCTTTTATCACCATTTATCTAAGTTTTGTTGACTTTTTTTATTCTCAAATGTGTGTTAAAGAATCAACCCTAGGTTTGGAGATGTATCTTAAATATGTAGCAAAAAATGTATGTCATTTTATACAATGAAAAGCAGGACTAAGTTACTTGGAAATAAGAAATGGAAACTGAACTTGTCCATCCCACATCTACTGAGGTATGTAAGAGCATCACTTCACTACTATATATTGTATTTCAATTCAAAGGTGATGTTAGTTTTCAATCATACCAGGAAAACAGAAATTCTGAAATTACTCCTTTTGGTAGCGAAGGCTTTATAATGGTCACATAAAGGGCCTTTGGCTATAATAGTTTAGATAAAATGAGGTACTGGAAATGAGACGAAGTCCTTCAGATTAATCTAAAAACTGTCTTCTCTAAAGCAATAGAAGAAAACATACAAAAACAGGACCTCTTCCATTAAAATTATTTTAATAAATATCTTAAATCTATACAACAGAATCCTTCCCCTACCCATATCTTTATTCTGTTCACATAGAGCAGTAAATAAGGTGCATTCCTTCTGCTTCTTAAGAAATTAGCATTTCAAAAATATGCCACTTTCCCCTGAACTCCAAGCGTGTCTAATAATGCGAGAAGCAGATTGTCTTCCCTCGTTTCCTTAATTTGTTTCATCTAAAAGCAATTCACTCAACATCTTGTCGCCCTCTGGCAGCTTAGTTTACTTATCCGCACTTAATTTCTCATTTGGACCAAAACAAACTCCTCCAAACTGCTACTGACTGCTAACCGCGAGAGGGGAGACACGCAGTATGTATTTACTTGGGAACATACAAGCTTCACATACACAGCCTACTCCAGACAGTAACTTGGTTTTATAAAAGCACTATATTAAAACCAGCTGAACTTTCCTTGCGAGGTGTTGTTGCAGGATGGGGGTGGGGCAGGACGGAAAAAAAGAAGTCCCCGGGGCATTTTACAGTTTCCAGTGGATCACCTTAGCGTGGGTGTCACAATTATCCCAGGGATGCACCCGAGAGCTTTTTTTGTGTGCGGCCCTTTCATCTAGATCACTTTGTGTTTTGAACAAGCAAGGCTCGCCTTTGTGCCCCTAGAATTTCAAGTACAGAGTCACGCACGGAACAACAATGGCACGCTAATCCTCGCGCTCTAAATGGGCTCACTTGTGGGTCTGACAATTCGCGGGGGGGAAGCGAGAAGAGACCAGCGAGGGCGCGAGGCGGTGTCGCCTGAGACGAGGAAAAGGACAGCTGCAGAACTAATTTGGATTACATTCTTTGCAGAAATTCTGAAAAGGGCTTTTCGGCATAGCTCAACCCTGAGCCACACAGTTAATACCAAATTGCTGCGGACTCGGAGCCGGGTCCCCCAGCGGCTGAGGCTGAACCAGACAGCCCCCAGTAGGTTGCCTCGTAGAAATTCCTCTCCGCTAAGCCTGCCTGTCGGTCGGGCAACTGCTTTTGAATGGGTCAATGTGCATAATCAACCCATTGAGGGAAAATATGAAGGGACTTGGAGTGGGGAGGGAGATAAAAAGGGATGTATCTAAGACGCCGCTTGGAATCTCAAGTCCGTGTCGGTGTAATTCCGGAGGTGGCTGGAGCGCGGGACCTGGTATGCATGAAGAATTTCGGAGCATTTGGGAGGGTGCAAACGGCCGGTACAAACGGCGCACATTGGTGCCATTCGAAGGTCATTTTGAAAGGCTCGATGCTTGTAACTTGTTATTTACTAGGCTAGGAGGGGTAGGCGGCAGCGGCGGAGGCGGAGCGGGAAAACTACAGCGCTGTTTTCTTGGTGAGGTCAGAAGGACACCCTCCGGGGCCTAAAGGTCTCCTATCGCCACTCCCGCGGGTTTTATCTTCTCTTCTCCAGCTGCCTCCCACGCTCCCGCGGCCAGCCCCGGATGGTCCCGGAAATCTCCCCCGCTCTCCAGAAAGCCCCCTTTGGCTGCATCTGACACCGGTCCTCCGTCCTTTCCCGTCCCACTTTCATCCACAGGAAACTCAAGCGTCAGAAACTTTGAGCAACCTCGCACTGCAGGTGCTGTCATTAGCCGTGCCCGCCGCGGTGCGCCAGCCCCACCCCGCAGCCTCTCGGGGGTCAATTAGCCTTCTGCCTGTCCAAGTACCTGAGGCTCGAGCGTTCCAGCTAACAGTGGCAGCGCAGTCGCGCCCGCCTCGGGTTAAATCAATTCACGCAACGGGTCGGCTCGGCTGCCGCGCCGGGCAGTAAACAGAGAAGTTGGAGGGACTCCGGCCAATAGCAAGTTGAACTACAGGAAGAACTCTTCCTGAAGCCAAACACAGCCACCGATGCGAAGGCCGGGCTCCCGGCTCAAGTATGTCCCCCTCCCCCCCCCCCACCCCCCCCCCTTTTTTTTTTTAAGAGGGCACGCAGGCATGCAAGCTCCCTCGAGTCTATGGGGCGAAGACTCCGAGTGGCGGGCGTGGGAGGCCCAGAGTTCCGTGCACCCGCCGGAGGCGCGCCCTCCCGCCGCGCTCCAGCTGCCCGGGGCTGGGCTCAGGAGTCTGACCCCACCAGCTCCGGCGACCGACCGGGGATGCAGCGGCCTCCCGGCAGCACACACAGGTGCAAAGCCCTGCTCTCGGAGCTCCACTCCCCACAGTCCTCCCGCTCTCAAGAGGCCCAGCTGACACCGCCCGGGACCCCAGCTCTTCGGAAGCCCGGGCGGCGCGCGCTTCTTGGAAGCTTTCGCTCTCCCCGGCCCGGACGGCGAGAGGACCGCCTCCTCTAACTCGGGAATTCTGTCTCCCACGTCCCGCACCACAGGCTGGACTAGAAGGGATCCCGCTTAGGCTGGGAGAAAACGCGCGAGAAAGAAAGAAGGGGGGTTAAGGAGAGAGAAACAAGGGATAGGGGCGCAGAGTGGTAGTTCATGATAAATAAAACGAAGGCACACAAAAAGGTTAAGTTTGGGGACAGAAAGAGGGGCGAACGAAAGCCCACGGAAGAGGCCCGGGTGGAGCGGTCCCTCCGTGCCTGGGAACCAGCGGGTCTCAGGTTCGCGGAAGGGGGCGAGGGAGCCACCCGACGCAGCCCAGGCGGCGGGAGCAGGTTCAACAACTGGAGCGCGAGAAGCAACCGCGCACGACCCACCTGACTGAGAAGCGTTGGGCTGGACGGTCCCCGCCGCCAGGAGAAGGCTCACCCAGACCCACAGTCCTGTCGCCAGCTTCATTTTTTGGAAGTCTCAGATCCCTTGCTGACCATTACATGTCCAAATGGCATATCCCCTTTCGGGCACGCGGACGAGATCCCTCGGCCAGGCGCGCTTCGGGGCGCGAGGGGGACTGGCGCGCGACGTGCGCGGTGCACCGGCTCCGAGCACCGGCGCCCGAGTCCGCGCCGGCGGGTCCAGGGCCGGGGACCGGAGGAGGGGGTGAGGGTGCGCGCTTGTGTGGGAGTGTGCTCGAGTGTGTGCGCGTGGTGCTCCGGGCCGGACTGTGCAGCTATTTCCCTGTATGAGCCTTCGCTTTCTCGCTCCCTCCTGACTTTCGCTCACTGGTTGGTCAACAATAAAAAGGAAGGGGGAAAAAGGTTTCCAAAAAAAGTTGATTGCAAAGAGGCGGTAGGTTTCCGGCTCTCCCCGCCCCAGCCGGGCTATGTTCGGCTCCCTTTTCAGTTTCCTTGCACCTCCAGTCCAAATTGGGAGGGGAAGGGGGGGTAGCTTCTCGCTTCTCCCCCGATCCTGTCCTTTTTCCTGTCAGCTTTCCTCACACTTGTCCGGCGGCTGCGGTAATTAAAGCTCCGAGCGTCATTTCCAACGCTCCGCGGTCTCCAGCTGCAGCCCCACAGAGAAATTAATAAGACTACGGGAGGGGGGGAGGGGTAAAAAAAAAAAAAAAGGTGGGGGGGCGGATAAAACAACCCTCCACGCAACCAGGCTGGCTCTGCTCGGCCGCGAAAACCCCGCCCCCGCTCTGACCCAACTAGCCACGCCTTTTCCCCCGCCCCCCACTCCCCAAAGGGGAACCTTATTGGCTCAGACACTCCCCAAAATCCTCAGTCTCAGGAGTTGGGAAAACACCTGTCTGAGAGCGGGCGCGTGCTGGTGGGGGCGGAGAAAGATGGATTTAAAGGGCTCACCCGAGACAACGCACGGAAACAGAAGGCCCAAGACAGCTGGCCCGCGGAGTGCGCAGACCACCGGAGGGTTGCTTACAGAAGAAGAAAAAAAAAAAAATTTTTTTTTTTTGCTTAAACCATTTTCTCTGTTGCCCCCCTGTGCTCATCCAGACTGGACCTAGAACTGGAAGATAACGTTGCTTCCGGCATAAAGTCTTTACCCTTTTCTAACCCTTCATGCTCCACACTCAGTGGTTTAAAAGGCGGTTCAGCAACCGGTAACCGCTGCTGACTAGGTAATCCTGGGGAGAGATAATCACCTGTTTTCCCAACTATGTCATCTATCCCACGTTTCCTACCCTCACACTGACCACTTTTGTAACAGCTGCGTGCGTTCATTTTCAGACTTTTTTTCACCTTTTCCTTGGACTCTAGGACAACTTGGTTTGGGGTTCATTCTCAGTAAGCAGATTCTTGTCCAAAGCTATGAATTTGGCTCTAAAGGGCTACAAATTGTCCTACTCCTCAGCTGTTCAATGTGAAAGAACTTAAGGCCATGGCAGAACATAACCAACATCAAATGACAAGGCTTATGCTACCGTGGACCCAATGTTAGGCCCCTTCCATGCTGTCACTCTCCAAGTCCACACTCCCTCATCCCTACTTTATTGCTAACTATAGGAGTTTCTGTGCTTTACTTGACATAGAATATCCCAGAATTGGGTCATATCAGAGTACATATCCCTTGCCTTTTAGAGCTCTGAAACTGTACCCTGGGCAGAGGCCAGAACCTCCTGGGGATAGTAGGTTATTGGTTTGCTATTTGCACAGGCATTCTATGTATGATTTATTTTACTTTTTATGTTTCTCTAGAAGCAGCAAATATATAAATACAAAGTATCGGGGAGCTTAAAAATCAAGCCACCTCACTCATCATTTGAGCCCTTCCCTCTCCTCCCTCACATCTTTTATCTATAGCCTTGTCCCTTAAGAATTTTCATGGAGCTGAGAACAGAGAGAAACAGCAGCCTCATCCCGGAAACCCGAAGCCTTTCCTTTCTTAGGCCCACAACAAGTAATGGGCACAGAAAAGAGGCTGACCAAGCTGAGCATGCTGTTTCACCCAGAAGCAGCCTGGTGCCTGGAGAAACTAAGCCCAGAACAGAGATACTGACTTGATCAGAGTGGTACCGATTGCTTCAGAGTTGTGCACACTGCTCTTTGGATTATCTTTGCTTTCTGTTTTTATCACCCTCCCCCCTCTATTTTCTTTCCTTTCATTCAATCTCTTCTCAGTCCCCTTTCCTTAAATTACCTTCCGCTCCTTATGATGCTCAGACACTTCTCTTCTATGAAAACTACTTCTTTTAAAATTTTCCTTCTGTCTTCAGAGTAACAACCTAAGTGATAAAAAACAAACAAAATAATTTGTTTCTGTATTAAAAATAGGCCTCGTCCCCAGCAACGGTTATAAGAAGTGGATTGTGTATTTTACCTTAAAGTGAGGAAAAGATTAAATGCCCTGAATAATTTGGGTTATTTTTGTTTTTCATCTAAATATGATGAAAATAATTCATCTAAAATATTCATCTAGAGTAACTCTTAGCAAAAGAGGGATTTCAATTAATATTCACTGGTTAAAAAAATAGTCTAAATTTTGTTGGATGCTTGACAGTCTGTACAAGATATCCACCAATTAAATTGCCTTACATACCCATGATTTGCCTCTAATTTTCAATTTCTTCTGCTTTGACCCCATTGTTTGGTTTTGATTGAAACAATGACTGCTACCTAGCCAAAGTTGTATATCTGACCAGCAACCTATAAAATGAATTGTCATGAAAGTTCTACCCAACAAAAGCATCTTATTTTGCTTTTGATGGTTACTGGTCTACTCAAACAGAGCCTAGCTTTAATAATTTGAATATGAGACCCTAGACTCTTAAACAAGAAGATGGTACCCTGTGTGAAACAACTGGAACAGTGAGAAAGTAAAAGCCATGCTCTCATTTCTTTTCATCTCAACTGAGTCATCATAAGAAAACAGCAGATAGGGGACATTTACTACCTGATGTGGAAAGGACATGCTATATCCTCTGTGATTGCTAGAGGATTTCTGAAGTGGATCTTTGTATTTCTTCAATTTTCCATGTACCTTTATAATAATTCCTTATCGGTTGAATTAAATAAAATATGTTGCTATTATTTTCAACCTGGGAAAAAAAACAAATCTGAGTAACCCAGCATATTACTTGGAAAACCAAAGGTTTGTATCTGGATTTATCTGCTCAGTATTCCTTTCCTAGGAACTCCCCTTCTCTCAGTTCTACATTTTTAACTTGGATGTACCTCCATGGAACAACACCCCCTACTCCTTTGTTCCAAGGCACACCACTCAAAATACTAAGTTAGACCAATCAAAATGCCTTGGTCATTGTTAACTGGTAGACAGATGGTCATTCCCATTGAGTCTCTTCCCTGGGATTTTTGTGCATGGGAAAGAAAGAGTTCATATTAGTCATTCACTGATAGCTTTTGAAACAAAAAAAAAAAAAAAAAAAAAAAAAAAAATCCAAACATGGCCCATGTTTTCTTCTATGTAGGAGTGACCAGGCTACAGTGAGAAAGAATGAAGCTGCCATTTGAAAGGAGCACACAAGCTCAGATAGGTCTGAAGAATATTCATACTTTTCCTGTTATTTGAATCCCTCTTTTTCTTAAGTTAATTCAGTTTCATTTTTGTTACCTGAAATCAGTAAGCAATGAAACAGTAAAAGGATTCCAACTTCAATGAGATGATATAGGCCATTATGCCTCTTGAATATCTTGCTATGGCCCATATTCTTTAGTTTTCTTTCATAGTTTCTCATGATTTCCCTTGGCTGAGGTCATAACCCCAACATAGAGACTCCATTGGTCCTTGCTACCTCCTCATACCCCATTTTCTTTCATGTTTTCCATTAGTAATAGAATTCGAGGAGAGACTTGATGTCATGAGTGACAAAACGCTGCTGGTGGGAATACGTTGATCTCAGAGTTCAATGTTAAATTCAATATGTAAGTTTGTCCCAGGGTCGTATAACTCAACCCACTCTTCAGCTTGTTTCTAAGACTTCCCTAAAAGTATGAATTAAGCATGCTGCTTTCTTTAGACATTTTGCTCTTGGCCATAAATACAAATTTGGGACAAATATTAACCAAGAAAAGAAAACAAGACTTCATCATAAGTCAGTTTTATTCTCCTGAACATTCAAAAATAGATATAGGATTTTAATTCCCACCTCCTCCCACCTATTGTCATCTTCCTCCTGATCTAAGTTATCTTGTGATTACAAGCAACTCACTTCATAGACCTGAGCCCTTTGCCTCATCTTTAAAGGAAGGGATTGTTAAGTCCCAAATATAAGACTTTCATGAATCTATGATTTACTGATCACTTACTAAGTACAAGCATAATTTTCACAGACTTCCGTTGTTTTTAATATTCCTTCCTCCTTTTCCCTACTCACCCAGACATACACTCTTCATCTGGAGCATGAACACAGCCACATCTTAAAATGATGTAGGAAAATATTCAAATAAGCTCACTATTATGTTACTGTGAAATGCTCAAAACATTGGATCTTTACTGTTCCATTAGCCAAAAAGAAATTTTGATAAATACCAATCAGATTCAGTATTATGATGATCAAGCAGATGACAGATACAGTATTGGCAGTTTGGTTTTTGTTTATTAACCAGCACTTAAAATAACATCTTCTGTTCTTAACCTTCAGAGTTCTGAAATTCTCTGATATTTTTGGTGATGTTCAATGTGTCAAAGCTGAAAAAAAATCTGAAAGTTCAATAATTTTTTACATGCATGAATATACATTAACAAAAGAAATGTTTTTGTGGCCTTAGTTAATTTAATATCCAAAGAGGACCTCCCTAAGATTATTTTGGTTAGTAAGTGTTATTTTCTGTCTATGTGCATGATTGAGCCTTAATTTTTTAAGTGCTAAGGAGGAAGGAGTGAACATAAATAAATTAAATCTGTGTTGCTTTTATGTTCATTCATCAGTGTCTGTCCAAGTTCTTTGAGACATTTTTTTTTGGTTTGTGGTTGAAACTGCAAAACAATTTACTCTGTGGACAGACCAGTCTTTTCCAACCAAGTTATGCAAAAATGATTTGCCTAGTAAAACTTTTTACTGCTGTGTATCTGTATTATATATTTTCTTAAACTAAGTTCTCATGTCCCATATAGCTTTTTCTACTGTTTTCTAAGCTTAGAGACAAAGTAAACCTTCAGTAAACAGTTGTCAACTTAAAACTAAGAAGAAAAGGGGCATTTCAATTTTTGCATGTTTATATATTTATAAATAATTTAATTATTAGCGAAGTTACTTATTGAGGCTATGGTGGTACCTGGCCTGAAATCTGAACCAAAATAAAGTCTGTTAGTTTCTTTTTCAGGTAGTCTCTTATGTTGTACTTCCTTTTTTTTTGTACTCTTGGCAAAGAACTTGATCATTTTATGGTTAATACATAGATTTCTCAAAAGAATCTGAAGTTATATTTGCCACATACACGAAAATGGCTGTTATCCTGACTAAGGTTGCCAAGAGTTCTTAGAATTTTTCTTGAATCCTTGCCAAATAGTCAACTAATGTAATCAGTTGGAAACCATGATTTTTTTTTCCCCTCAAGTTTCTATAGAGATGGATGAATCTTCAAAGCTTTAGCAAA